TACTGATTACTTAACAACAGATGCACAAAACATAGCTTGATAAGGTTGCACTATTTGTACAATATGTTATGCTTCTATTAAGTATTTGTTATTCAACATTTGCATTAGGTTAAAATATGAGAATTCATTGTACTTTGAGCATTTGTTTATGGGGTTCTGAGGCTAGGGGAGTAATACAGTGAGCAATGATATTTTGAGGCAGTGGAGAGTGATTTGTTAGCTTTGTAGGTAAAGGTAAGCATTAAGTTTTGCGTGAGTAGGTGGTTTTTTAAGAAGAATCTTGAATTGATGTACAGACAGGGTTCCTTTGGTATTCACTGGTAATGAATTCCAAATTTTTGAGCCCTTTATGTGCATTGAGTTTTTACATAGTGTGAGATGGACACGGGGAACATCAAAGAGTGATCTGTGTCTTGTGTTATGGTCATGTGTCCTGTTAAGGTTGGTAAGAAGTTTGAGTGGAGGGTTTATATAAGTAAGTAAGTAAGTAAGTAAGTTTATTCAGGTATACACAAATACAGTTACATAGAATTATCATACATAGCAGCATATGTGTAGAGAACCTAGGATAACCCAAAAAAGTCAGACAGAGTGACTTATTTCCATTTGAGTGTAGTGTTTTATGTATGTAGTAGGCACACCTACATAATATGGGAGAGAGTATGGCCTAACAATAGTTTTCAGAGTATGGAAGTGAGAGTGGTAGTGTGGCACCAGCCAGTCTCAAAGAGAGGCAAGCGGGATGCCAAACACATACTGGTCCCCCCACACCCTGCCCCATATGGGGTCAGGTGGAGTAGGTCTCACAGTTTGCAGATAGCATGAGGAGAAAAATACTTGAAGATAGTTAATAATACAGTGGAACCTCTACTTGCGAGTTTAATCCATTCCATGACCTTGCTCGCAACTGGATTTGCTCGTTTGCAGTCAATTTTCCTCATTTAAATTAATTGAAATGCAATTAATCCGTTCCAGTGAAATTCTGTACTTCAATAATTTCGCTAATATCAACTCTACAGCTTATTTATCCATCTCACTTCATCTAATATGACATAATAAACAATATAAATAACATAGAAACCTGATATATACTCTAAGATGAATAAAATACGTCATTCATGTAGTGGTATGAGCGGTGTCGGCGGTGGACGAGAGTTTGTCTAGAGACCGGGCAAAATATTTCATGAATAATTTCGCTGATGTCATCTATACGGCTTATTTATCTATCACAGTTCATCTAATATGACATAACAAACAATATAAATAACATAGAAACTTATATCTACTCTAAAATGAATAAAATATGTCATTCATGTAGTAGTATAGGCGGGGTCAGCGGCCGAAGAGAGTTTGTCTGGAGACAGGACAACATACTCCTTGAATATTTCACTATCATCAACTCTACGGCTTATTTATCTATCACAATTCGTCTGATATGGAATAATAAACAATATAAACCACATAGAAACCTAATATATACTCTAGCATGAATGAAATATGTCATTATGTAAGAGGTGGAGGCAGCCACAACTGCTCTCTCCTTGTTGTGGTAAACACCGCCATCTAGTGACGGCCTTTTGAACCTGTCTATTATTATAATTATTATATGTACAGTGGACCCCCGCATAGCGACTTTAATCAGTGCAAGAGGGCTCATTGTTATGCGAAATGATCGGTATGCGAATGAATTTTCCCCATAAGAAATAATGGAAATCAAATTAATCCGTGCAAGACACCCAAAAGTATGAAAAAAAAATTTTACCACATGAAATATACATTTTCCTACACACAAAGAGAAGGATACATGCACAATAGTAGAGTAGTACATGCACAATATATATTGTGCATGTACTACTCTACTAAATGAAGAATAAATGACACTTACCTTTATTGAAGATGCAGCAATGACTGATGAGACACTGTGTCCTGGGAGTGCCTTTTCCTCCTGAGTACTGTAGGTCCTGTTTGGCATTTCTTCCAGAACAGGCCTTATCACACTGTGTATGCCACTACGATTCTTAAATCTCTCAAACCAACCTTTGCTGGCTTTAAATTCACCAATATGAGCGCTAGTTCCAGGCATTTTTCCCTGTTCACCTGGGTGTTAGTCGACTGGTGTGGGTTGCATCCTGGGAGACAAGATTAAGGACCCAAATGGAAATAAGTTAGACAGTCTTCGATGACACTGACTTTTTTGGGTTATCCTGGGTGGCAAATCCTCTGGGGTTAATTGTTTCTTGGTATTCTCAATAAGCCACACCAACAACGGTGCTACAGCAGCAGCAACAGCAGCTGACAGTGCTACAGCAGCAGCAGCAGCTGACAGTGCTACAGCAGCAGCAGCAGCTGACAGTGCTACAGCAGCAGCAGACGATGCTACAGCAGCAGCAGACGGTACTACAGCAGCAGCTGACGGTGGTACAGCAGCAGCTGACAGTGCTACAGCAGCAGCAGATGATGCTACAGCAGCAGCAGACGGTACTACAGCAGCAGCTGACGGTGGTTCAGCACAGCAGCAGCAGCTGACAGTGCTACAGCAGCAGCAGACAATGCTACAGCAGCAGCAGACGATGCTACAGCAGCAGCAGATGGTACTACAGCAGCAGCTGACGGTGGTACAGCAGCAGCAGCTGACAGTGCTACAGCAGCAGCAGACGATGCTACAGCAGCAGCAGACGGTACTACAGCAGCAGCTGACGGTGGTACAGCACAGCACAGCTGACAGTGCTACAGCAGCACAGACGATGCTACAGCAGCAGCAGACGGTACTTACCAGCAGCAGCTGACAGTGGTACAGCAGCAGCTGACAGTGCAGCAGCAGCAGCAGCAGCTGATGGTGGTACAGCAGCAGCAGCAGCTGTACCACCAATAGTAGCGATGGTTGATTGGGTTTATTATACAACCTGGCCCAGCTCAGAGACACGCACTCCACTTTCATACTTATCAATGATCTTTTTCTTCATCTCTATAGTAATTCTCACCCTTATTGCTGTAGGGTTGGTACTAGAAGCTTTCTTGGGGCCCATGGTCACTTATTTTGCAGATAAAATCACCAAAAACACTGTAATAATACGAAATGTTCCGATTGTATGCTTGGATGTTACCGCGGAGGCTGGCTGGTAAACAATGCCACCGGCGGCACATGTGAGGCTGGCTAAGGGCGCACATTGGACGCGTCTCGGACGAAGAGCGGTGAGCGGGTTTTTGAGCGGTATGCAAGGCAAAATTTTTGCGATAAAAGTGAGCGGTATGCGGATTGAACGTTATGTGATGCGTACGGTATGCGGGGGTCCACTCTAGTACATTATTATTATTATTATTATTATTATTATTATTATTATTATTATTGTATTATTATTATACTATTATTATTATATGTATTATTATTATACTATTATTATTATTATTATTATTATTTATTATTATTATACTATTATTATTATATTCAGTTTCGTTTTCAACATTCATCACATTATTATATGTATTATTATTATACTTATTATATTATATTTTATTATTATTATTATTATTATTATTATTATTATGTAAATAATTTGTAATTTTTATTCACACAAAAAATATAAGATTTACTGTTATTTTTATTGCAATAATTGTATAAATAATGTCAACCCATTCACGACTGCATATTTTAATGGACAGTGACGTAATTTGTTTACTCTTAAACGTAGCCAAGCAATGGGCCATTTCTCCTACGTTGAGCTTAATTTCAAGGTACTTTTCATTGTGAAAGCAATCAAAATCATATCTATTTCTGTAATATATATTCCATTCTATCAAATGAGATAAAAAAATGTGAGAATACATCCATAAAAACGTACGAAAATACTGCTAAGGGGTGGCTAATTGCTGAGAAGTGAGCTCCATTATTTATGCTTAGATTTCTTTCATTTTTGGTGTACGTTAAGAAGCATCTTTCCATCATACATTGCCCAAGTTTCAATAAGATAGTCCAACAAACAAATGAGATACAATTCCTGAGATCATGAGCAAGAGTCCCTCACCAGTGTCAAGGAACCTGTCTTGAGGTCTGCTTGCTTATGGAAGCAAAAAATCGACCCATCGACTGCTTGTATTTGGAAAAACTCACACGTGGACACGCTCGCAAGTAGAGGTTCCACTGTATATATAATATGCGATTGTCTATGTATGTGTAGTGTGACCTAAGTGTAAGTAGAAGTAGCAGGATATACCTGGTATCCCACATGTTTATGAGACAGAAAAAAGATACCAGCAATCCTACCATCATGTAAAACAATTTCTGTTTCACACTCATTTGGTAGGATGGTAGTACCTCTCTGGGTGGCTGCTGTCTACCAACCTGCTACCGAAGCTAACAACAGATACACACAAAATGATTTCCTTTAATATAGTAATCAATAATGGACATGTTATTATTTACCTCAACATGTTTTACTTAGTTTGACTCTACTGTATATACTTTATATGAGAATAATATGATTGTTGTATACTGTATTATAGTAATTATATTTGTATGTAGACAGAAGACACACACAGGTGGACAGAAAGACACACAGGTAGACAGAAAGACACACACAGGTAGACATAGACACAGGTAGATAGAAAGACAGATACACAGGTAGACAGACAGATAAACAGACACACAGAGATACACAGATATACAGGCAGACAGATACAGACAGGTTTATGCGCAACAGTGAAAAATAGAGAGCTCGAGAGTAAGAGCCTTTCTTGCCACAATCTCCAGTGCAAGATTCAGACTTCATCTTAGGGGCCATGGTGAAATTTACTGTCCAGTTAGTACAGTTAATACAGTATGATGCTGCTGATAGGGCAGGGTAACTCAAACTGATGCTGCCTGCATGACTTAGTGGTGTGCATCAGCTGGCCCAGCCCAGCTGCCAGATGCACGGTCATAAGTCGAGTGGACGTATGTCGAGCAGGTCGTAAGTCGGATGGTAGGTGTAATTATTGTATGTTTAAATATTTTATTGCTACAGACTGTACCGTGAACGAGTTACTCAAGTTGAAGCAAAGTTGGACGAAGTGCGAGTGGGAGAAGCTACAGAGTATCTTATGCCACTGGAGGAGCTTCAGGAAGCTCTGCGTGTCAGGTTGGAAGTGGCTTGTATCCTTCGTCAGTTACGCCTCCAGAACATCAGTAATAAACATGAAGCGGAACTTCTGGCCTCTAAACAAAACTTTGAGGTTCGTGACCTTCTTTTTTTTATAATTAATTCTTTAACCCTTTGACTGTTTTGGTCGTATATATACTTCTTACGCGCCACTGTTTCGGACGTACGTATTTATATGCGTATTTCGGACATGTACACCACTGTTTCGGACGTATTTATACGCATAAATTCTAGCGGCTTAAAATCAAGCGGGAGAAAGCTGGTAGGCCCACATGTGAGAGAATGGGTCTGTGTGCTCAGTGTGCACCACATAAAAAAAATCCTGCAGAACGCAGTGCGTAATGAGAAAAAAAAACTGACCGGTTTTTTTTGGATTAAAATGCCAAATTTTCGTATTCTATTTATCGTTGTATTCTTGTTTTCATTGTCTCATGTGATAAAATGGGAAGCATATTACAGAAATAGAGATGATTTTGATTAGTTTCATGATGAAAACGGCCTTGAAATTGAGCTCAAAGCAGCGGAAATGTTCGATTTTTACCAATGATCAAGAGTAAGCAAATCACACCACACGTCCAATATACATCAACTGGAGAGTCTAATATTCTTTCACTAGTGCACTGATATTATTTATACCATTTTTACAATAATGCAGTAGTCTGCATAATAGTAAATCTTCTATTTTTTGTATGAATAAAAAATAAAAATAAAAAGCAATAGTAATATAAGAGAGGCCAAGAGATGTGACTAATTAACAGAGGATATGTTATTTTAGTGCCAAGAATGTCTACATTGTTTATTCTGGACCCTATTTTGAAATTGGCATCTTTTTTAATTTGCATGAAATTGGCCAAATTGCCAATTTCTGACCACTTTATTGGGTAGTTCAAATCGGTAAATGGGCGGTTTCTTGTTCTCAACTGATAGAAAAAATGGAGTTCTAAAGAAATAGCTATGAATTTGGTCAACTGAAACAAGGGAATTGGCCAAAAACAGGGCTCAAATTCGGCATAATCGCTGATGCGTATATGTCACCAAGACCGCTAACTTTGCCGGAGTGTAATTCTGTGGGTTTTTGACCAAATTTCGTACTTTTGGTATCATTACCATCGGGAAAAGATTCTCTATCATGTCATAAGAAAAAATAATTTTCTTATTTTTTCCAAAAAATTTGCGACATAGAATGATAGTTTCAGAAAGGGGCTTGCGACAGTCAAAGGGTTAAGAATGAAAATACTTAGATTATTATCCCAGTTTCCTTGTTATCTTAAAAGAACATTTATAAATAACCTACTTTTTGGAGAGGAAAGTTGACAGTATTTCAGTCCTTGGCATAGTTGTAGGTCACCGCTGAATGAGAAAATGCAAAGAAAACTGGAAGACAAATCAGATGAAGAAATATGAAGACAGGTTAGGTTATAAAAACTGCAGGAGACAAGTCAAGAAGTCAGGTGAAAGTTGGAAGACAGGTCAAGTGAAGAAAAATGCCAGAAGACAGGTGCAGAAGTCTTGACCTGACCTTAACTAAGGTCAGGTCAAGACTTCTGCAGATTACAGCATTTCCTCTCTAAACTGTAGTAGGTCCTATAGTATAATGGATTGAAAGAACCTGTTTCTTTAGCTAGAACTTAAAAACAAAAGAAATTGAAATCCAGAGAAAAATTATGATTTTATAGTGTTTTGAAGCTGGTAAAAAAATTATCATTTATTAGCGACAGTGGAGTAAATGATCATTTATTAACATCAGTGGTATAAATGACCATTTATTAACAACTTGCATAAATGATCATTTATTAACAACAGCAGTGTAACTGCACATAGCAGTATTTAAATTTAACAGTTTATTGAGTTAAAATTATGATTGTTTTTAATTTATTCTGTTTAAATATTATGTACACTAGGAAAGAGTGAGATTATTTCTCAATAAAAGTAATCCTTAGACAGGATGTGTGATGTCACCATGGTTGTTCAATATATTTATAGGTGGGGTTGTAAGAGAAGTGAATGCCCGGGTGTTGGCGAGAAGTGTGGGATTAAAAGATAAAGAATCTAACACAAAGTGGGAGTTGTCATAGTTGCTTGTTGCTGGTTACACTGTGCTTTTAGGAGATTCTCAAGAGGTTAGTAAACAAGGTTGGTAGGGTATGTAAAAGAAGGAAATTAAAAGTGAATGTAGGAAAGAGCAAGGTGATGAGGATAACAAAAAAATTAGATAATGAGAGATTGAATATCAGATTGGAGGGAGATAGTATGGAGGGAGTGAATGTATTCAGATATTTGGGAGTGTACTTGTCAGCAGATGGGTCTATGAACTACAAGGTGAATCATAGGGTTAATGAGGGGAAAAAAAAGGTGAGTGGTGCACTGAGGAATCTGTGGAGACAAAAAAATGTTATCCATGGAAGCAAAGAGAGGATTGTATGAGAGTATAGTTATACCAATTCTCTTATATCAGTGTGAAGCATGGGTGGCGAATGTTGCAACAAAGAGAAGGCTGGAGGCAGTGGAGATGTTGTGTCTGATGGCAGTGTGGGGTGTGAATATTTTGCAGAGAATCCATAATTTGGAAATTAGGAGGAAGTATAGGGTTACTAAAAGTATTATCCAGAGGGCTGAGGAAGGATTGTTGAGGTGGTCAGACATTTAGAGAGGCTGGAATGAAATAGAATAACTTAGGGAGTATATAAAATCTGTAGTGGAAGAAAGGCAGGGGAGGTGTTGCCTAAGAAAGGTTAGAGGGAGGGGGTAAAGGAGGTTTTGTTTGTGAGGGTCTTTGACTTCCAGCAAGCGTGGGTGAGCATGTTAGGAGTGAGTGAAGACGAATGGTTTTTATGACTTGATGTGCTGTTGGAGTGTGAGCAAAGTAACATTTATGAAGGGATTCGGGGAAACCGGTCAGCCAGACTTGATTCCTGGAGGTGGGACGTATAGTGCCTGCTCTCTGAAGGAGGGGTGTTGATATGTTGCAGTTTTTTAATTGTAGTGTTGGTGCACCTCTGGCAATACAGTGATGGAGTGAATGATGATGAAAATATTTTTTCTTTGTTTTGTGTCACCCTGCCTTGGTGGGAAACGGTCAAAGTGTTAATAAAAACAAATAGTTTCTAACATGGTTTAGTCACTTACAGAGGATGGAACAAAATAGGATCTGTAGGAAGGGATGGCAGGTTAGGGGTTGTCCTAGAAAAGGTTGGAGGGAGCAGATAAAGGAGGATTTGTATGCAAGGAGCTTGGACATAAAACAGGGGTGTGTGAGCATGTTAGATAGAAGTGAGTGGAGGCAAGTGGCTTTTATGACTTGACGAGTTGTTGGAGTGAAGGGAAACTGGTTAGCTGCACTGGAGTCCTAGAGGTGGGAAATATAATGCTTGCACTCTGAAGGAGGGGTGGGAATATTGCTGTTTGGATGGGCATCTGAACTGTAGTATCGTCATGCTTCTGGCAAGACAGTGATGTAGTGAGTGATGGTGAGTTTCTTGTTTCCTGGGTCACTGTCTCATTGGAAGACTGCTGGTGCATTGTCAAGAATAATGGGATATAATCAAGTTGATTATTTCTCATTAAACAAGTTTTTATTTAGGTTTTGTGGTGTATGTTGATGTTGAGGGCACCCAGGTGTTATTGGCATAAAAAAACCACACCATATTGATGTAATCTTGGATAACTCAACAGAAGTCAAACAGTGTGACTCATTATCCAGTGTTATTGAACAGTTTGGTCGACATCCACTGTTAATATGTATCACCAAATTGTAATACATTTGGAACCAGTTAGGCATACTGCCAGTTCCACACCCTGTATATCAGCTTGTGTATACATCATATTGAGGCACTTACCTATGATGCACTACCTCTCCCACATGACTCAAGATGTTTTCCTAGATGTGTGCTCTGTATGTGTGCACAAATTGGAAATAAATAAATAAATAAATAAATGTGAGGAGGTTTTAGGTGATCCAAACAGTTAATCTGAGACCTGAAATGGCAGCGGGAGGCATATTTGAACACTTGAAAATTAAGCTTATATACAGCCTCTCCTCGCTTACCAACGGAGTTCCATTCCTAAGACCATGTTGGTAAACGAATTCATTGTTAATCAAGGAATCACCTCTTGCTGATACTTCAAAAATGTCATCACCCAAAATTAAAACATTCAGTTTTATGTTTGCTGTGAAAATCCATTCAATCTGTTCATTATTAACCCTTTGACTGTCGCGGTCGTATATGTACGTCATGGGAGATACCGTGTTTGACGTATCTATACGCATAAATTCTAGCGGCTTCAAATCGAGCGGGAGAGGGCTGGTAGGCCTACACGAGAGAGAATGGGTCTCAGTGGTCGGTGTGCACCCTGTGAAAAAAATCTGGGACTCAGCGGTGCATTGTGGGAACGCCATCTTGGTAGTCCATTTTCACCATGCCTCGCGGTAAGAAGTTCCTCACTCCTCGGCGGGTTGGAGGTCTTTTGTTCCCCAAGTGATAGCTCAAACAGTGATGATAGTGTCAGTGAAAGTGAATTCCATGGTTTTGAAGCGGGTGTGACCGAGAAAATTACCCAGGATAACATAATTAGTGATGAAAACCCAGATGACCCACAACCATCCACCTCTGGTGCTAGGCGGCTCGTTCATATTCACCTGTACCAGGACGAAAGAGGAAACTATTTGCCCGTGTACAAGACTCAGATGTGAGCAGTGCAAGTGATAGTGATAGTGATTTCAAGGTTATTGAAACCACTTCTAGTTGTGACAGTGAGGGTGAATATTCCCCAGTGAAACGGCAGTATGTACGACGTCGCATGCGGTCTGGTAGTGTGCCATATGCTCTTCCAAGGGGAAAAGGGAGTACATCTCGGAGCACATCCCGTGGCCCTACACCACGTCCTGATAGTGAAGATGACGATATTGTTACGATGGGTATAAATGATGTGAGTGAGGCAGCAGGCGGTGGTGGTGATAGTGACGGTGCCATGAGTCATGTGACACCAGCAGCGGCCACGCTAGTGCCCGCGCTGCTGACTCTGCACAACTACAACCTGCTTCGGCCGACCCCACACTCTCACAACCACAACCAC